ATTCGTGTTTTTCTCGTTGCCATGTTCCCACAATAACGTAGCTCCATTTTCTGCCTTTAAAGGCACACACAACCCACAATTCCTCTATTCGCTCCGACGAAGGGCTAACGCTCGAAACGTCAGCTTTTGTAATTGTTCCGGTGGCCAATTTACCATTTCAACTTTGTTGATATATCAAATTTATTCATTTCAAAGCTAAAGAAGAGTAAACAACAAACAAGCTTAAACGAAAAATAAATACACATCTATTCACATTTTATTCATATGACGACGTCGGTCTTTGTCTCTACGCCTATGTAACTGCGTGCTAGAAGCAAGCCACAGTTAGTTCTATCTTGCAATTCTAAAGATTCTGAAAAATGAACTCTGGGAGGTAGCGGGGCTGTTAGATATAAAATTAAAAATGTTTTCCTCGTACCAGAGTACCAAGATTTGTCAGCCAATGACAGGTAGTATTTTAACAATGAACAAAATCTGCGGGAGGAGGTGCAATTTACAGCAAAGTGATAGAATCAGATAACTGCACCCATAAACGGCTTATAAATGAAAACCTGTCACAGTTACAATCTCTCATTAACTAAGTGGAGTTGGAAAATTTACTAAGTAAACAAAGGAGCTATTTTCATAAGAATTACCTAACGAAAAAAAATATTGAGTTTCTCTAGCCCACAACTTCCAATATAAATCTATCAGAACAAATTGTACAGGCATAGAAGCAGAGATATTGTGGTCTTCTTCCTAAATCTACTTCCTAAATAGAACCGAAAATCGCGAAATCAGAAGGTCTGGATTTCGATTCCTTTTGGGAGAATCAGATTGCTATTTGCTCCCTTGTATCTTGTGACAAAACGAACAAGATCTCTCATTTACGCTTAAGTTCGTTAATTCTACATCGCGTAAGATTCTATGACTATTGTGTTTGACTTAGTTAATTGGTATCAGGAATAACGCGTCGTTCAATTCAAGACTACTCAATTATGAAATCGCTCGCCCCAGTCCTCCTTGAACTTTCACTCTACACATTCAGCTTCTGCTTTTCATCAACTCTGATGTCATCGTCCATGATGTTGATATATGTCCTCTGGAATAGATGAGTTAAAGAGAAGAAAAAATGACAGGTTGTGAAGCTCAGTAATGATAATAGTAATAATATACAGGAATGAGAAAATGAACAAGCGAGTAAATGACAATAGATTAAAAAAGAACTCATGACATACTGTTAACCATTCAACCAATTAAGTTCCTTTAGAATTCAATATGGTTTAATCTATGTGACACAGGACTTTCATGACCTTTATTTCCCCCATTAATTTTTCAACTTACATTTTATTGTCTTAGTAGTCATCGTGTGTGTCTCATTTTCCCTTGAAATGTAATTTCGATCTTACTAAGCCACTTAATAAGAAGAGTTTCAATTTTTTCCACCACTTTCTTGGACTTATATGACTCCCCGTTAAACACAAGTTTCTCCGACATTTGGTTTGAAAATGTTTCTGTGTAATCTACTCAAGTGAAATAAATTGAATAGGGAAAGAGTGGAAGAAAGTACTTGAGAATATAAAGTTCACCTACCTTGACTTCTCGTAAGAAGTATTCCAGCCGGTTTACGATGTCAGTAAAGCAAGGCCTCATCAAAGGATTCTCATTCCAACAAGAGCTCATAAGTGTATATCTACAAATGCGTTGCATCCTTCTTTAATTTTTAAGACCTCTCAAGTCATTCAACTCATTCTATCCTCACCCAGCTAAACCGGCAACAGAACATCTGGGACAGCGATATCTAAAATAGGTAGGGTTTCAAATCTAACGGGAGGCGAACTCTTTTTATTGTTCCGATCTTGTGACAAATGCTTCAAGTTACTCATAAAATGAAACATTGTAGCGTTGACTGTTAACATATAAGTAAATATATCAACAGAAACGGTCTTGCAAATTATCGAAGTACTTACAGTTCTTCCGAGCATTGATGAGGACGAGGCATCCGATAGCCCGTAGAAAGCCGACTTACCAGGGAAAAAGGTGATTCGACGTCAGGGTATGGTACCTTACCTGGGAGACAATATAGCGGAGTGTGATAAGTGCTAAGAACTTAAACCTAATGGATTATTAACTTCTTACCGAGACGAAGTCGAGGTCCATAAAAATTTAAAAAAAAAAACAAAAAAACACGAGGCTAATATCCAGCCATTTTGACCCAATAAGCTTGGAAATAAAAGATTTATTATTGATATTTATTATTAATATTAGAGATTTCGCTTTATTAAGAATTTTTATTATATAGATACCGATGAGATATCAAGGTTTTTCCTTTTACTAAAAAATCATATCTTCATCGCGCGCAGATACTATTTTTATCTCTCACGTGTGAGGATACTGGTGTCGCCATGGTTACTAACATGATTAGCCAATTACAAGAGAATAAAGGCTGATAGTTTCGAAAGAAACTGTTTGGGGCTGCGTCGGTGGGAGTAACGAAATAATTTGGATATATCAACAAAGTTGAAATGGTAAATTGGCCACCGTAATGATTACAAAAGCTGACGTTTCGAGCGTTAGCCCTTCGTCGGAGCGAATAGAGGAATTGTGGGTTGTGTGTGCTTTTAAAGGCAGAAAATGGAGCTACGTTATTGGTGGGTGCATGGCAACGAGAAAAACATGAATAAATTAGTGGAATGAAAAGCGTTCATTGATCCCTGTGGGATTTAGACTGCCGGTTTGAAAGATGAGCTTTTGTTCAAGATTTTTACGGCTTTCCGTGCCACCTAAGTGCAAGGAAAGACCGCAGATTGCCATATGTTGCTTAGAATGATTAGGTAAATTAAAATGTCTAGCGACTGGTTTCGATGTGTCCTTGTCATTCCTTTCCACGTCTCGAAGGTGTTCTCGGAATCGGTCACCTAGTCTTCTGCCTGTTTCGCCGATGTATATCTTTTTGCAATAAGTGCAAGTTATGCAATATTAATTATTTCGTTACTCCCACCGACGCAGCCCCAAACAGTTTCTTTCGAAACTATCAGCCTTTATTCTCTTG